GGTGTCATTGGCAAACTTACTGAGGGTGTGCTCTATCCCATTGTCCATGTCACTTACAAAGCTGTTAAACAGTACTGGTCCCGCTACTGACCTCTGAGGAGCCACTCGTCACTGGTCTCCACTTGGACATTGAGCTGTTGACCGCAACTCTTTGAGTGCAACCATCCAGCCAATTCCTTATCCATTGAGTGGTCTATCTGTCAAATCCGTGTGTGTCCAATTTAGAGACCAGGATGTTGTGTGGGACAGCATCAAATGCTTTGCACAAGTCCAGGTAGCTGATGTCAGTTGCTCTTATCCACCAACGCTGTAACCTCATTGTAGAAGGCTACCAAATTTGTCAGGCACGCTTTACCTTTAGTGGAGTGATACTGGTTGTCACCAGTCGCCTCCTTATTCTCCATGTGCCTTAGCATAGTTTCTAGGAGGATCTGCTCCATGAACTTGCCAGGCATAGACGTGAGATTGATTGGCCTGTAGTTCCCTGGGTCTTGCTTTTTTCTGTTTTTAAAAATGGGAGTTATGTTTCCCCTTTTCCAGTCAGCACCTCACACTGCCATGATTTCTCAAACATGACGGAGAGTGGCTTAGCCACTTCATCCGCCAGTTCCCTCCGGACCTGTGGATGCATCTCGTCAGGTCCCATGGACTTGTGCACCTTCAGGTTCCTTAGATGATCTCAGGTTCCTTAGGTTATCTTCTCCTACAGTGGGTGGTTCTTCATTCTCCCAGTCCCTACCTTTGCCTTCTGAGACTTGGGTGGTCATGTACTAATATTTGATTGCTTCAAAAGGTGCAAGCAAAGCCAAAAGGACCAATCAAAGATCTTCTTCAGTTTAAATCAGTGTTTTGTTATTCGCAGATAAAATCAGTAATAACTCCAGAAGGAAATAAAACAGTATCTTTCCTTCCTTCCTGATGCCCACAAAGGACAATAAGAAACCGCTCCTGAATACCAAATAGGTTTGGATACAGGAAGAAAGTAACCCTTTTCAAAACAAAATGAAATATAGTAGCTTGAGAGAGACTCAGAAGCAGCTCTATTTTTCTTAATCTCTTTCCCAAGGAATACATTCAAATATTGGCTTTTTTTGAAATCTTGGGTTGTACACTTCCTCCCTCTCTTGGAGGGAGATTCTTCATATTTCTTGATGTTTATTTCAAAATGAGTGACAAAATATGTGAATCTCAATTCCAGAAATGCTGGCAGTTCTCTTTGAAGTATTATCTTCATCATGTGAAGAAATACAGCAAATATTTTTTATCTTAAAAGACAAAATCAGCACAACTTCAATGGATTTTTGAACTTATGACCCCTGTACTGCATTGCCCTAACCTACCCTAAGTTTTGCTGTATTTGTACCATCTTATGTGACCAAAATGGTAGCATGGAAACTTGTGGTCAGAGCGAAATAGAATGATAGTAATGTCCAAAAAAAGGAGTCCAAGCACTGACGGATGTGCCTGTGTTACCTGGCACACTGCTTTCAGGTATATTGATGAAGTGCAGGCTATTTTACTATGCTTTAGTTTTCTTGTTCATCATTAACATTTTTGATTTTTAAGTGTTCATAGTTCTTGATCTGTGTATCCAGAATGGTCTTGTGCCCAGCAGATGAAGTTTCAAGGTTTGTAGTGTACATCCTTACACTATGATTTGTTTGATGAAAGCTTTCTGCCAACATCAGACCAGACGTGGGGGCCGTCAGCTTGCTGACACCGTGCAACCAGGCTGTTGGAAGGCCGTTAATCTAACGTGTAGTAAGATTAACTGGTTGGAGAATGTGCTGTACCTTCCATTTGCTGTATTGGTTTACTTTCCTCACAATGTACAATATAGAGACATCTGTTGGGAACAAAAGAGGAAAGATAAAGGCAAAAAAAAGCATAATCTCTGTAAGGAGGAGCGGGTGCAAACATATTTATTATTTGTCCTACAAATAGATCCTTTCTATCTCTTCTTTCCTATCCTAAACTTGACATGGTTAAAAATTCCATTCATTTATTTATTTGGGTAGATTTCTCATCATAACTTGTTTCATTAATAAATAGTTCCAAATATTCCTTTTAAAGTCTGACCATTTACTGAATGGAGAGAAGAATGTTGTTACCTGAAAAGGGTAGGAGACAGATAGATTTGATATGCATGCAACTTCCAGTGCTGTCCTTTAAAGCAAAGACATAATAGCAGCTGCTGTGCAGGCGGTGCATGTTGCTGGTGGAATTTATTTCTGACCAACTGTGTACTCTTTGACTCCAAATGCTCTATCTTGAACAATTGCAGTGTATAGAAAGGAAAAGTGGTAGTGGGAGTTACAAGGAACAGGACTATAGGAGTGGGATAAACATAAATACAGTTTTTACTCATGATCAAGGAAGCAATTGAATCTAAATTTTTGGAGCTGAAAAATTAACAAATTACAGATTTCTATTTTTTTAATTGTATGAATGACAACATGCTGTTAATATGGTGTTTTTCAGACAGCTTAGTTTCGAAGTAGATATAAAGGCAAATTATGGCAGCTTTTGATGGCACAAATGCTTTAAGTTACTTTGCAAATGTATTTTTCAAGTGTATTATTTGGCAAGTATATTTTTATTTGTATGAAGTATGCATACAAAAAATAACAGCATCGACCTGTTTGGAGAAGACTTCCTTAATTATTTGACAAACAGGTATTCTTCAACCCTGGATTTAATTTTTTGTGTGTATGGAAAATACTCAGAAATGTGAGTAATTTGTAGGTGTTTAGAAATACCAAGTACAGCCTTTCTCGGAACAGGATATGAAACATACTTCATTTTTTTGTTTTTTCTAAAGTGGAAATGCAAGACAGTCAGAAAAACATGTCTTGGTTGGCAGTATTGGGTTTTGGTGGTTTGGTTTTGTTTGTTTTTTTTTTCAATTAGTGCATGTTAAAGCATGCTCTGTGTGTTCTGGGAGTGCATTGTAGGCTACCTAGGAAGAGTAATTTTTCTCTCTTACTTCCTAATATCTGTTTTCAGTATTTTGTATACTAATACAACTTTCCATAGTCTAGGCAGCAGCTATAGATGAGAACTACATTAAGTCATCTGGTTCGGGTCAGTGTCACTAGAAAATTTATTTCTTGCTGTGTATTAATGAGATCTTTCTTCCTTCAGCTAGCAGGCAGAGGCTTTTGAATAACTTGATATTCTCTGAAAAATACTTCTCAATCATGCTCAAGAAGATAGGTATGACATTTCATTTGCTCATCAGGAATTCTAAAAGCTTGTCCGTATCTGGTTATATACTTACATATGTATTTTTGCAAGCTGTTCCAATGAGTAAGTCCAAATTCAGTTGAGACCTACTTTTGGTCTGGTCAGGTGCATCTCTGTCCATGCCTTCCTAGGGTCCCACAGGTAATATGAAAGCTGACAGTGAGAATGTAAGTGAGACACTCTTCACTGGTATTTCCCAAGGTGATTCTTCCTCCACACTGAAGGGCTTGGTTACCCTTGTGAGGAAGCTCTTTACTAAGTGTGCGCTCTCTTTCATTTTCAGGCCAGAGCCTCAACAGAAAGCTCCCTCTGCACCTCCACCTCCACCCCCGCCCCCACCTCCACCCCTACCGGAGCCCACCCCACCAGAGCCAGAGGAGGAGATTTTAGGATCTGACGATGAGGAGCAAGAGGATCCTGCAGATTACTGTAAAGGTCTGTGCAATTCAGCAGTGTCAATGAGGGTAAACATTGTCATGTGAGTCTTAACTCTGGTTCTTGGGAGGTTTTTAAAGACCTGATCTTTATTTACGGAATTTATACAGGAATTATGAGCGACTGCTCATTTCAAGCCCAGATGCACAACTGTCTTCAGCTTTACTTTTTCTGTTAGCTATAGCTTATTTATACATTTTGCAATAAATATACAAGCATTGCATCCCTGTTTTGTTCCTGATGTCCTAATTATAAGAATAGAGAAGAAACTTTTCTTGATTGTTGTTAGTTATAAGAGAAACAATAGCACCGAAACCAAAACAACCCCTCCCACACTCCAAAAGGTTCTAAAATGCCTTGATGCCTTTAACAACATCAACTACATTTATTTTTTAATGTGTATCTTTTTTTCCCCCTTCTTCTCTCACCTGGACCAGCCCGAGATATACATGCTTCTTTTTCACGTGTCTTTCACAGCCCTCAGCATTGTATGAGGCTCTGTGCATCTTCATTTTAGCTCTTAATTTCCTTAGTTTTTGTAGTTGCTTATATTAATATCATTAAATGCATAAAAACACATGACTGCAGTGTACATACTTACGTTTGTTTTAATGTCACTGCTAAAGTTGCAAGTCTGTTCCCCTTAGGGTAAAATGTATACAGTACTTACATGAAAAATCACAAATAACAGGTCTATCAACTTTGGGTTACCTGTTGTAGTAGAATTCAAGGATATAAATTTACTTTAGGAAACATCAAAGTTTTATCACTTCAGATTAATGGTTTTGAACAGCCAAGAAATACCATATGCACATTGACTATATGTGGTGTTCTGTATTCTTCATATCAAGAAACACTTTCTGTGTCAAATATGATGAGGTCTTCTTAATCAGAAGTTTCTATGTAAGTCTGGAAATTGCTATTTTAAGAATCCCCTCTCCCAGCCTGGAAGAAGTGTTTTGTATTTTCAGATTTAACAATTGAAAGTGACTGTTTCATTTTGGTGTGAGAAGTTTTATTAATATGTGCTATTTCAAATGTTTAAGTGGTTTAAGGGTACCAATAGTGAAAACCAAACAGTAAACTGAAACTGAACATTGAAGTCTGCAGCAGGGAAAAGAAAAACATGTTGCTAAAGCATGTTTGGTTTTTGGTTTTGTTTTTTATCATTTCTGTTACACCACATTTGTTCCTTAAGATAACTCTTTTGGTATCTATAACATCTTCCACCAATGAGTGAGGATCTGTTGTTTAAACATCTGTTTACTTGTAAACATCTAATTCCTTAAGATTAAGTGTTTCAAGGCACCCACTTAATTCTTCCCTGAAGTAAGGGCTGCATTTAATTTCAAACAATCCATTGTTGTCTGTGTTCGAGTATCTCTTGCAAAATGTCACCATCTGGAGAAGCTAGATCACAAACCAAACAAAATAATATTCTTAAGTTTACAGCCTGCTTATAAGTTACCTGTTCAACTAGAGACTCTGTGGTTATAGCAAGTCAGTAGTGAGAACTGCATGCTCTTTAAATGAACTACATGTTACACTGAGGATGCTTACAAGTTTCCTGAAAAATTAAAAGAAACTTCTGTACGCTTAAAGGTTCTTCTGAATTCCTCTGGTCTTGAAGTCCTGAACTGATGGAAGTATATTAAACATGGTTCAAGCTTTGGTTCATTTGGATGTCATAATCGTTATTTATTCCTCTGAGAACAGTGCTTTTGTTGCTCCAGTAGATGTTTTACCTATTTTCTGACCATAATTTACTGTCAGACTGATCAGTATGTTTCCTTCTTTTAGTCTGCTGGGGTTGAACTCAAGGTACCGTCACCATAACAATCTGAATCAAATGGCCAGATTGGGCTGACCTGAGGCCATATAAAGACTTGCTGTTTGTTTGTTTTATATTCGATAATGGGGAATGAATAAGTTAGTTGGTAAAGAATTCCAGGGGTGGGTTTTAGATACATTATTTCCATTTTTTTCTGAGAGGTGTTTTATTAGTTTGAATGTGCTCTTCTGTTTTGGATGACCTTACCTTTACTTACAGAGTGGAAGACAAATATTTGGAAATTATCATTTAGTACTGGGGTGTCTCGTCTCTTCCTAATTTTATCTCCAAAATGCCAATCTCCTGGGATTTTTGAGTGAGGCACAGAGCATGCTTCATCTGTTCACAAGCCCCATCTGAAATTTCACAGGGGGACAATTTTGATGAAGGATTGTATAATGAATTCTTTTAATGAATTCAACATTTTTATCTGTTAACTGTACTTCCCATTGCCAGGGTATTTTTTATACTAATTTTTTTTTTGTATTTTTTATTTTTAAGGATATACTACTATGTGCTGGGCTCACATCTTCACATTACATGGTGGTTAGTAAATAATCATAGTAGTATTTTTAATGAGGAAATTGGATAAGTTTGAATTGGGACTTGATGTGAAAGAGACAACTAACAGCCATCGGTTTAAAGCAGACTAACCTCTTCCCCTGGGGCTTCCTCCAGGGCCTGTTTAAAACTGCGAAGTGACTTCTGGTGGTGTCACTGAATTTACATTAAATGCTTTTCAAATCTTTATAGAAATATCAAAAGTCCAACTACGTGATTTTTTAAGGGGTACTTAGACAGTGAAGCTAGTTTTTCTTCTCTTCTGAAAGGCCTTGAAATGCTTGGAGATTTTTTTTCAAGAGCCTGTTGTGTCATGGATGTAATTGGAATTCTTTGCTTCTCTGATCATCTTCTTTGCCCCCCGGAGATATCTCCCATTCACCCAGTTCACAAAGGGAATAATTCCCTATACAAACATAGAACTAGCCCTCTACAATTACCAATACATTCAGGAGACATTTAGGAATAAGGATCTCATTTTTCTGACCCTCTTTCTTGAGTGCATGTAGCTAGCTAGCTAGCTGTGAGAGAGACTTTTTTTTTTTCTGTGTGTGCTGCAGTGAATAGCACAACAGGTTTTTTTGTTACATTATCAGCAGTGCCACTTATACATTGTATATTTTCAAATACCGATATTGTTTTTCCAAAAGTACGTCATTTTTCTCAACCCATTAATTTTGCATAGATGCTTTCCTGTTACTACTATTTAGAAATACTTTCTATATTGTGAAGAATTTAAATAATTACATTCATCATAGGATGACATCAGTTTTTAAAATGCATTTAACTAAGCATGTTGTTACCTGGTTGTCCACAACCTGTAAATGAACGTGTTGCTGACATGAATAATCAGGGAGTAACGTGTATAGGAACAGTAATCAATTATTTACAAAACTGCTCCTGTTGTGGCATAGGACAGTAGAAAGTATCTTGTGAAGTATATATACCCAGAGAATGTGCTACCGCTGTTGGTGTCTGTAGCATATGCTGATGTATTGCTATAATTAGTTATGACAGTGCTGTAGGGACCAAAATAACATGGCTTTTGCATATATAGTATTGTTATTCTTGCAGTATGTAGATTTTACTAAAATAACTCATCAACCCCTGGTTTATTAACTTGACTTTGGTGTCTTTGGTTTCCTCTGTAGGGTGTTCTCTCTCCTATCTGTGATGGAAGAAACTATCCCAAGTTTTTGGTTATTTTTGACTCTTTGAAGCACAAGTATGCCAAAAGCTATCTGCAGAGAGGCAGACTTAGAAGGCACTTGTTTACCTGAACTATTCCTAGGAACATATGTTTACCTGTATTTAAATTCTTCACCTTTGAGTATTATGTTGTTAACATGTTTAAAAAGCAAATGTTTTGTTTAGTGTGAAAAAATTACTTCTGGACATTGTTTTATATGCTTGAGGGCCCACTTATACCCTTCTGGCAGTGCAAAGGACTGCGTGAATTCTGAGTGTTTTCATATATATCTGAAGTCATATAACTGTTAAGGAATGATTTAATAGGACTGTATGTTTAGGAAAATTGTAAAACGTTCCAGAAATATTTGTATTGTTGAATTTTAAAATCTATTTGCAAACCATAGAGACATGTTAAAAATAGATATTAAATACTTTTCAGTTTTTCTAATTATATCTGTTTGCAAAGGAATAATGGTTATACAGAGAATAATGTTTCATACTTCTCACTGTTTTCATGCAAGCATACATGCAGGACAAAACTCAAATCAGAAGAAATGATACCGTAATAGTGAATTATGTGGAAACGTTTTATGTAATTTTTGCTGTCAGGTCAGCAGACTTGATTCATTTCACAAATGCAACATTTTCAGTAATGGAAATGTAGAATTGCTGTATGTTCTCTTCACCTTCCACTCACATCTATCACTTCATCATCCTGGGTAGAGTTTTATGGAAAGAATTTACCAAAGAGTTACAATTTTTTTTTTGTTTTAAGCCAGTCAATAGCTGTCTTAAATTATGATTATATTTATTCAGCTTTTTAAGTATTTTTATCAGCTGTTACTGCAAGGATGGTTAAATAGACAATTAAATTAAAATTTAGTTTTGTTTTTAATATTTCTATCAGTGTGGATTTGTGTATGTGAATTTATTCAGCAAAATTTCTGTCATAATGAAGCTGCAATAGATGTGGGCTTCGTATATGGCTGATACTGTTTCTTTTTGCAAATGAAGTGGACAGCATAATAGTCAACACTTACTCTCAGTAATTGTGTGTCCCCCCTCTTTTGCTGGAGTGTAAATCTGGTCAGGTGTTCCAAAAGTGATCTGTTTTTTCTTTGGAAAGTAAGAATTCCCACTTGGCAATGTTGAGCATTCTTATTGAGGTTGACAAAATTCAGCAGTGGAAATGAAGGTGTCTTTTTGGGTTGCTAGGTGGGTTGTCCTGGCAGCTTTTCACGAACATTGCCTTCCCAGTGATGGAGGGGAGGTTTTCCCCCAAGGGGGAGTCCTGGGACTTAGTCCTAGGCTGGGTCTGTATGTGTCTCTCCTTCTGTAATGCCCTGTACTACTCCTCAACTAGGGTCTTCTTTTTCCTTTGCTCTTTTTCAACTGAAAGTGTTGGTGTCTGTATACCTAATGATTTGTGAAATTAAATATTGTGTGTGATAGTAAGTATACAGTTCTCATGGGTTAAAAGTTTAAAGGTTGTTCTCGTATCTGGGGCTTCATAGATTTGTGCAAAATTTTAATGGAAAAGATGAAACTTCAACACCTTCTTTACTGCTAGGCTGGGAGAGCTGAGGCTGCACTGAGTGTCTGTCCATGCTACCCATGCACGTCAGACTCATTCCTGTACCTGGTGAACACGCTTGACCCTCTGCAGTGGTACAGACTGGGAGGCAGGTGGGCAGGGAGGTACGTGAGGTCAGCGCTGTATAGAGGCGAGACTTGTGCTGCCCATCTGAAGTTGTTTGTTGCTGTCATGCTTCAGACTGGCCCCTGCCGAGGCGAATACTTGTGAGTGCGGCTTCCCTGGTGCTCTGGCCTGAGCTGTTGGGAGTCTCTGCCAGCGGTATTACGTGCGGGAGCCTGGGCAGCTGCAGCCATGTCAGATGGGTTGGCTTTGGGTTGAGGCTGTGAACAAACCAGCGAGTGTCTGCTCTCTGCTGAGCTTGAAGTTACACCTCAACATACAAATATCAAAGCTGTGTGTGTTTTAGAGTTTCAGTTTAGACATACCAACATCTAAAGCAATACTTTATTAAAGCAAAATTATTTAAGCGTTATCGTTCTGTTGAATATGTAATCTTTATAATTCTATCGTACAACTGTTAAATTCATTAATCTGCTCTGGAAGCATTTGAGAAAAGTTCACAACTAAACTTTTGAACCTTCTGTTAAAGCAAAAGATGCTATTAGCAAAGAAAGGATATAGATATATCCAGATTTGATGTCACTGTTCCACCAATAAAAAGGAGATAAGAGAGAAGTCCCTGTTTTAAATCCAGGGAATTACCTGATGAGTTCACATTGTTGTCTTAACTGGGCACCAGTTCTAACAAGATTTTCAGGGGATTTCAAAACAAATATAGCAACTTAGAGAAAGTAGTCTGAGGTTTTCCTCATTTTAAGCAGAATATTCAATAACTGGGGACCCTGCCTTGACACAGTTGTGTGTGACATTATGAAGTACCAGAAAGAGCCAAAGAAGTGATTCCTTGACAGCTGCTCTGAGTCTGCTGCCGGTGATGTCCTGGAGGGTTGCACAGTGCAGCTTGATTATTTGTTTGCAATTTAGGCAACATTGTAGATGTTATTATTAGTGTGTTAAGGTCTGAATAATGATCTTGTGTGATCACTGTCTTCGCTGTGTTTGACTGGGAGAAAGAATACCTCTTAAAATATGAAGGAAATAGAAAGCTTCATTACACTTCCTCCCACTGCCTAGAAACTTCAGCTCCAGCCTGGTCTGTCCTGTTGGCCTTTCTGCCTAATGGGGCTTTTGAGGACCTGTGTGGTGGTGTAAGGACTGCAGACTTCGGTGATTAAAAAGCAGTTCAGACAAAGCCTGTAGCTGCCTGCTCTCTCTTCTTCCTCACTGTAAAAACCTCAGACATGAGAAGAATGCATTGCTGCTGTGGGTCAGGAGCCAAGCAGAAGAGCATCGATAAAGTCTGCATTGTTCTTAACATTTTCTCAGAAAGTATTTTGTTGCTGCCTTTATTAGTAGAAAGCAAATGGGAATTAAAACAATGTCTATTGAGATTCTGCAATCATCCAAAATATGTTGACTGGAGAAGCTTCAAATACAGAATCATAAAATGGTTTGGGTTGGAATGGACCTTAAAGACCATCTAGTTCCAACCCCCCTGCCGTGAACAGGGACATCTTCCACCAGACCAGGCTGCTCAAAGCCCCATCCAGCCTGGCCTTGAACACTTCCAGGGATGTGGTATCCACAGCTTCTCTGGGCAGCCTGTTCCAGTGCCTCACCACCCTCATGGTGAAGAATTTCTTCCTTGATGATATGATAAAGGAATAATGTAGATCTTTCCTGTATTCTCTGTGAAGTGGAAGATAAGCCTGGGGAAATAGAGAACAGATGGTAATATTACCACAAATAAAAGCCATAAGAGAGAAGGGTGAATAAACTCTACAGTAGTTACAGGACATGTGTTTTTTCCCTTCAGGCCAAGTAAGGCAGAATTTTTAACACTAGAGTACAATTTTCTTTAGATTTCCTATTTATAGTACAGGACAATTCAAAATGGAAAATATATGCTACAATAATTACTTGAAAACCTGTGAATTATTGTTTGCTTTCTGAATATTCTTTTTCTACTTTTTTTTTTCGTAAAAGGAGGCTATCATCCAGTGAAAATTGGTGATCTTTTCAATGGCCGGTATCATGTTATTAGAAAGTTAGGATGGGGACACTTCTCTACAGTCTGGCTATGCTGGGATATGCAGTAAGAAAACTATTTATTTCCATTCACTTTTTTCTTAATATGTTACTTTATTTTGTTTGCAGTAACTTTTGTTTTACATGCATGATAAAGTTATGTAAATGTTTGCTATCTTTTTATGCAGAAAGATGCCTGCAGTCTTACTTTGCTCTTGTTTAAGGGTACAGTTTATAAAAGCTCTCAGAAAATAAGTGTAACTCTGTTTTTTTTGACAAATTAGCTTTGCTTATTGAATTTGCATGTTCTCTTGAACATGTGAGAGTAAGCTAATGTTTTTATTTCTGTTGTATCTTTAATGAAAAAATACAATTATAACTTGATTGAATGATAAAGTATGTAACCAATTCCTCTTTTAAAGACATTAGGAACAAGGAGACAAAATATTCAATAAATCAGACTGTTAACAGAATATTGTTAAAAGTTGTTTTTAAGTGTAATTCCAGTGTTTTCTGTCAGAATATATTAGATTATAAAATATTCTGTTTAAAAATTTCCCAACCTTCAAAGTATGTCTATTTTTAGCTCAGAATATGCATTGAAAATGTTTTTGTTCTTTTCAAGGGGGAAAAGATTTGTTGCAATGAAAGTTGTAAAAAGTGCCCAGCATTATACAGAGACAGCCTTGGATGAAATAAAATTGCTCAAATGTGTAAGTATCACTCATGCAATACAGTGCTTAATACCACTGATAATAGTAATAATGAATTTTTAAAATGTGGCAGAATACTGTTTTTAAACTTTTTTACATATTTTTTTTTTTCTAAGTAGCTGGCTTATTATGTGTTACCATGATTTCTGAAGCTCCAGAATGATGTTAACTTCATGTAGAAAGCTAACTAATAGGTATTTTTAAAGTGAATTTTTTCCTAAAGTGTCAGTGTTTACATTCTTGGTTTAGGTTCGTGAAAGTGACCCTAATGATCCCAACAAGGATATGGTTGTACAGCTAATTGATGACTTCAAAATTTCTGGAATGAATGGAATTCGTATCCTTTTTAAAACATGGCATCTTCATTAAAAATAATCTACTGAGATAAGTAAGCATTTAGTTCTGGCTTTTTTCCAGTTAGTCTTACTTTAAATATTTAATGTAGAAACACCAAAATATAGGTAGATGCAGAGTAGTCCAGTGTGTAATGCAGTCACTGGAGTGAAAATAGCTTAGCTTTTCTAAACACAATGCAAAATAAAAAAAATTCCCATGAATTCTATTATGGTCTGCTAGAACTAGAGATAGATAATTTACTTAAAACCGGGTATTTTACTGAAAAGATTTATAGTTACTGAGGCTTACAGGAAATATGATTTGCTCTAGACTAGTAAAGAGAAAGAAAGTGTCTGTCCTGAAGAAGCTGGTTTCTATTTTCTTGTGGGAAGTGTGAGGGCATGGAGATTCTTCTCTTGTTTGTGTGATCCTCTTTTGGCCAGGTGTTAACCTCTCTTTTTGCAAAGGTTTTAAAGCTTTACCTGTAGATGCTTCCTTTAAAAAAAAACAAAAAACAAAAAAACAAACAAAAACCAAACCAAAACAAAAACCATGAGAGAGGTAAAGGAAAATGACTGATGGTTCTCAGGGAAAATTTTGGATCTATGAATATATTTGATTTTAGAGTTGAGCTAAAGTGAGTTATCCTTGCTAATTATATTAGATGTTTTAGCAGCTTATTACATTACTGTGCTTTCATTTACTGTTACAGCTGGTATTTATGTGTATGCAAGATACAGTTCCTGCTCTAGAGAGCTTAACACTAAGTTGATTTTGGTGATGTGCATTCAGTCTTCAGCAGATCAGGTTAGGATGCTCTTCACCAACCATCATCCTGTAGGATAGAGAAATCTAGCAGGTGACTGTCAGTATATCTAAATGCCCACTAGAAAGCATCCTTTCAGGGACAAGTGTGCAAGCAGTTTTCATCCTAACCATCTGTCTCTTGACATGGGTTTTGAAGCCTTTGGGTTTGTGATAAGTGAGAATGAGAGTGTGGGGACAAGTATTCTCAGTTATAGAATGGCATCTTATCTGCTTTCCCTCTGTCCCATTTTGATTTGTTTCCTGGTTGCTTCAGTGGTTTGCTACCATGGTAGAAAGCTGCTTAAATGTAGGTGAAGTTAGTATAGTCTGCTTTTTTCCTAGGTTTTATAATCAAATTAAAATGAATTAAAATAAACCATACAGTTGCCAGGAGTCATTTCAACCTGAATATAAATGGTTTGTGGTCAAGGAGATTGCTTAACACAGTGAGGCAAAGAACCCTGGTTAGGGTTTCTTGGTACTGCTGTTGTGCTACAAAAAACAGGTTTTAATTTATGAACTGAGATGCTTATTAAGAAGTATTTTATAAATATCTCATATTTTGTCTAACTATGTTCACAAAACAATAATGTGACCAAAGCACTTCAGGTCTGGAGATGACAGCTGTACAATTAAAGAATAATTGAAGTTATTTTTAGAAATCAGAAATTTTGACTTACTGTTTTGATTGTAAAACACTAGCATGAAATAGGGAATAAGAAAATACATTCATAACTATACATAGAAATAAGTCTGTTTAACACAACATTTTCCCAATAACGTTCTGAAATTGCTAAGATTCACGTGTACACATACATCTGTATTAAAGGCAAGAGTCATTTCTAAGTGTGAAGAGTAAATTTTGTTAGTGATAATGTTTTGAAAGCATATCCAAACTTAATCTTTTTGAAATACAGCACTTAAATTGACAAAACCAAAGAGACCATGTACTAGTGAAAAATAAGGGTTAGACAGCTTTGTGTTAGCAGATTAAAACTGGACAGCTGATAGTGATTTATTCTGTTTCAGTTTTATCTTCATGTTGAAAACTCTGGCAGTAAGAAGTTCTTTTATGTGGAAGGCAAATGTTCCTGCCTTACTGAGAAGTACATTTTTCAGAACGGTACAGTAGACAGGATGGACTGATACTGGACTCAAATTTAAATTACAGCTGGAAGTCTGTCAAAGTTCTGACCACCAGTGAAAATATGATACTATAAGTGTCTTATGCTTTGGGTTTTCTTGTGAACAGCTTGTGCATCCTGAGTTGCATTGCTTATTTGGGCAGTGGTTGGTGGCATTGATTATTTGATCAACTCCTTTTTTATCTTCTAGGGAAGATAATATTTGGTGCAGGTTCTGTTGGGAGGGAGCAGGTAACTGATTTTAACATTTTGCTGCTATTTGTTTCCATTTTAAAAATGCCGTATTAGTGCTACACTAGTGTTACTGAGTTGAACAGGTTGAGAGAAATGCAGTAATTTGAGAGTTTTTCCATGCTCTGTCGTTTCCAGCTTCTTTTGGGCAAGTCACTAAATATCTGTTCCTTGACTGTAAATTAAAACAACATATGCTTCATAGAGGCTTGATTATTGGTTATGGAATACATTTAAAAGTTAAAGCAAGACAGAAGAGTGGTGGGTGAATCCTTTGGATGGCTAATATCACAGAATGTTGTGGAACTTCCAAACAGGGAAACTTGTCAAGAACCGTGTGGCACAGAGCTGAGAACGTGTAGAGCCACTGGCCTGCACTGCGTGTCTGAAAACAGTCATCTTCCTCCTAGGAGCTGTAATAAGTGTTTATACACAGAGGGATTTTAACAATGTGTGTTATACCACACTAGAATGATAATTTTTGTAGTTATTTGTATATTTTAAAAAGATTGCAATTATGATTTTCTCAGGAAATAACAGAATTCCTGAACTTGGTCACTTTGTTTTCAGTAAGTGTAAATTACTGTGTTTATCTGCACTGTAGATTTATTAGAGCCTTAATAAATGTTTACTTGAGTGTAGCATTTTTTTAATAAAAGGTTCAGATAGTCTCATAATGAAACAAGCATTTGGAGAGACAAGTGAAAAAATAAAGAAGGAAACATTCCCAACACAGTCAGACATTATAATAATTGTAATAAATTTATCTCCAAAGAATATACAGCGTTAATTAAATGCCATAGAGCCTAATTGCTGCCAATCCAGAAGCGTGCTGTGTTGGTACCAGAACCTTATTTCATTTAGCTTAACTAGTCTTTAACCCTCATCAGATTTCTAAATGCTCCTGTAATGTGTGTAGATAGATAGATAGTTACAGGTAGCATTTTAATCAAGAAATAACAGTTTTAAGTACTTAAGCCTGTCAGCTGATTAATGAATGCTATGTTTGCTCTCACTTTTGATGTTCTGCTCAGTTTCCCTCTTTCAGATATTCCCCAAACTGCTTCAAAGAGTGTTTTGGAAGAGGCATGTCTGCTGGGTAGGATTCAGGTTTATTTTTGCTGGAGTTGTTTTTGGACATACTCATCTGTCAGGATGTTGGTGCTGTAGGAAGATCCTGGGGCTTGCAAGGCCGGTTTCCTAATAGTTAATGCACAGCTTTTCCCAGACTCTTTGTAATGGGCAGTCTGGCTTAAAGTTAATGTTTTTCAGGTCAGGATGGTAAATCAGACAACAGTCACGTTTTTGCATACCTATTCCAAACACTGAACCTCCAGTATGTGTTCTCCCTATCCCAGTTGTGTCCCTAGTACTAAGCACGCCTTGAGTTTGGCTGAGTCCTCCCAGCAAAATGTTGCAGTCTTTTTTTCAGGTAGACATCACTTCTCTTTCTTGTGGCCTTCCCTCTCTTTGTCTGCCTCTGCTATTCCACCTTACATCTTCCTTCTCTGTGCCCTCCCTTGCCTCTCAGCTATTCACTTCCCTATTCTGGTTACTGGCAAGGCTTAGCACTTCCGTAAGTGCAAGGAATGGCAGGAATGTGCGTTGGAGAGTCTGCAGCAGCAGTGGTCTGAAGGACTGTGGGCGGGTGTCCTAAATTTCATTTCTGAAAGCTGCAGTGTCCTGTCTTTCTGAAATCTGTGTTGCTGTAGCATTGCAACTTACTGTGTGGGCTAAGTTAATAAGCCTTGCAGAGCTAATGTGCTCTACTCATCCTTTTTGATGGCAGTGTGCTTTACAACTGACTGATTCATTGGATGCTTGTGTGGTAAAGTAACCAAGACTGTTTCCTCTTCTGAGTGAAACAGAGTTTTGTAATATTCTGAGTAGACTTGATTGATACGATTGGGAAATGACTATTCACTGTCTCCTCTAATACAGGAATTAAACACGAAGTGAGATGAACAGGTAGTAGCAATCAGAATGTTACAGTTCTTCACAATATGCTTGGACCAGTCTTGAGACCTTTTAACTTTGGTCTAACTCCAGCATAGGGGATGTAGATTTTAAAACATCAGTTAGGTTTAGGGTAGGTACTTGAGACGAATGTAAAGGGATAGACCAATAGGCAAGGTAAGTCTCATTTTGACACAAGTTAGGACAGTGACTCAAAGATCATTGCCAAGACTCTAGTTAATGAAACTTAGAGGAGTTAGGTAAGATTTCTCCCCTAACAGTGTAGTTCCCTATTAATGGTCTCTGAGGTACAGTGTAATTTAATCCATTGAGATTTTCCTGCAGTATCTGTCGAATAATTCATTTTCTGTTACTTGTATTACATTGTTCTTTGCAAGGTTATAGTATCATGTAGTTAAGATTTTAACATTCTTTCTGATTTCCAGGGACATTAAGGTTATTCCCAGCTTATGTCTGAGGATTAACTCAGTATAGTCAAATTGTATAATTTCTTACCGGAATGCTGTGGATGATAAAACTTAAAATTAACTTGAATATCTGAATATTTTCTGACTAGAAAGATAACCTACTAAGGTATATTAAGCGTAGAATCTCTAACTTAGGAAGCTCTTGAACCGCAAATCACTGGAAGTTCCTACATGATTTTTTCCTAATACTCTTCCCTGATCATCTACTATTGGCCTCTGTTGCTGGCCGATAATAGACGCTGAGTCAAATTAAATTTCTTGGCATTGTGTTTTTTGCATCTTGCTTCTGATTTCCACATTTTCTTTGTTCCTGAGTTTTTTCATGATTGCCAGTATTCTCTACAGTTAGAATTGTAGGTGGTAAGAGATCCATTCTCTTAATACTTTAGTCTTTGTTGTCAAGTGATTCTTAATTGAGCCTAATCAAAAAGATACTTAGTGTGGTTAATTTTCTAAAACACTGTTCCTGCAGACTTTTGTTGTTAAAACCTTCTATTAATATAATTTCAATTTATTAGAAACTAGAGATAATAGGCCAAATCAGTACTTTTAACTGTTTCAAAGAAAACAAAAATGAAATAGTTATTTTTTTATAATTACCTATTTCATTTTTCATCCTAATACTATTGTTAACATATAGAAATAACTGACAAGATTTGCATAATTAAAGTGTGTTGTTTTAATTTGTTCTACATTTGGGCACTGTTTTTGTATGTGTTTATATATAATTGAAATGTAGTACCAAAGCATATACCATGTTCTGCTCATTTTAGGGGGAACTGTTTTCCCTCTAAACAGGGTGATGATTGCTTTAGCCAGTATGCAAACAAACATTTGTGTTGATCTCATCAACAAGTTTATTTGGAAATTATCCTTAATTAAATCCCAGATGTCTGTATGGTCTTTGAAGTACTTGGACATCATCTCCTAAAATGGATAATCAAGTCCAATTATCAAGGCCTTCCCATCCGTTGTGTAAAAAGTATAATTCGACAGGTAAGATTTGTTGATATTTTAATTGGGTTTTTCCACTATTGTTAACAGTTTGAAGGTTAGAATGAGGATATTTCAACTGAACTCTTACTAGTGAATATCTAAGATAATTTTATTGGTAATCCCGGGGGGTTTTGCAAGAACATCTTTCTGGATAGCCTGCGTTTCTGCATGCTAGGTTTTTGGGTTTTTTGTTGTTCTTTAAATTAAGATTTCCCACTGAGAAGGGAATTTCCTGAGCTGCTTTAGAAAATAAAAAGTTGAAACAATGAGTCTTTTTCATAGATGTAAGGATATTCATATTCAGTTGCAGTTTTGGTTGACGCATCATGCTGCTTAATAAGATCTTCTAGAAAATAAAACATCAGAACAGTGGGAAATAATATATTATTATAAAACCAAACAAAAAATGTATCTCTGAAAAATAGGTTCTAAAGGAAAAAACTGTTCTTTGACAAATTGTTGTCTGTCTGTATTTAAGTTTTTGTAGAGTCAGAAGGTTAACAAGATGAAACAGTTCAGAACATTTCACTGGGATATGTTCTTTCAAAATATGTTCTTTTGCTATACTATGAAAACCAAATTGCTGAGAGGTGATCTTAAGGAGCAATAGTGTCTCAGCAAGGAAGAATCATATATATATATTTGTGATTTTGTACATACTATTAATCTATGTGCAGTTAATACCTACAAATGACAAATGAAGTGTTTTAGCACTTAAGTAACTTGTATTGCTTTTCATCAACATTACCTCTATTTTATTAATAAGTGATCTGTTGAAGTGATTACTTTCTCTGTAATTATTGTTGTAGCTCCAGCCGAACTGAGCTGCCTGCTAAGAAGTGGGAATGTGTGTATTTGTATTACACATGCATATAAATATCCACTGTTTTCAGTAAACATAATTTTTTTGTTTGGAATGTTTTTGCTTTGGTTGCACCGTTGTCCTGGGGTTTGGCCAAACTTGAGAAATTACAATGTAATTTCTTGATATACCGGGTTTAGCAGCAAAGCCAGGTTTAGGAGCTCCCTGCTGCAGTTTACTCTTACCTCAGTTACACTGCCTGTTCATAGAAACAAGCTGTAAGCCAGACCACTGAATGGATCCAAGCTGAAAAAAACCACTTTTCAGAAGGAAGGTGAGAACTTCTGAACCCAGCTTCACAGTATCTTTGCCATCAGGCTCCTGTAACCTGGCAGAGAAGGACTTTCAGGTGGGATCTTCAGGGATGGTAACCACAAACTAGTGAGAAGTGGGGTCAGCAAGGACAGGGGAGTGAAAGACAGAATTATGGGGGAGGCTCTCAGTGCTTTCTCTAATCATCATGACTGGGGGACCAGACTCAAGTGGCACATACAAATGAATGCGGTATGGGGAGCAAAGGACAGGAATTAGAAATCCATACGTGGTCGCAGAGGTATTACCACATTGTGAATGCAAAGGTGTGGTGGGATAGCTCAGATAGCAGCAGTAGCCTGATAAAGGCACTTTAGAAAGGATGACCAGGGAAGAGGAGTTGAGCTTAAATGTTTGAATCTTTGCTGTAGAATGGGTCAGGGTCAGAGGGGAGACCAACAAGGGTGATGTCATGGTGTGGACCTGCTATAGGCTGCCAATTTGAAAAGTGGATGAGAAGCACCTTCTTTAGACAACTGGAATAAGCTGGTTCCTATGGGGGACTTTTAACCACCTTGATATCTGCTCTGGTTGGGCACATGCAGTCAAGGAAATTTCTGGAGTGTGTTAAGGACAATTTCTCAGCATGACGTGAGCTGTGTCTCAGCAAGGAGACAAGTTGGAGACGCACTTTGCTGGACTAGTTACGAATAAGGAAGAACTTGTTGGAAATGTGAAGACTCATGGCAGGCTTGGCATGAGAGGTCCTGGTAGACAAACTGAACCCGAGTCAGTGGTGGACTCCTGTGATGATGAAAGCTAACCATGTAGTAGGCCACATTAGCAAGAGTGTGGGTAGCAGAATGAGGGTTCTGTTTTAGTAGTTCAGGACTCTGTACAGTTTTGGGCTCCAAATGCAAGACATTGACTTCCTGAAGTGAGTCCAGTGAAAGGCCACGAAGAGGATGAGGGAGCTGCAGCATGTGATGTATGAGAGGGCTTGGGAGAACTGGTTTGTGTGATTTTAAGAGTAAAAGGCTAATAAGGGGGTAAACTTTTGATCTCTTCAGCACAGATAGAGAAAATGGAGCCAGACTTCTCTTGTCGATACACAGAGATAGGACAAGAAGCAATGTACACGAATTTCAAAAAGAGAAGTTCTGGTTACATATTAGGAAGAAATTCTTTGTAGTGAGGGTGGTCAGGCACTGGAACAGGTTGTCTACAGTGTTATGCAGTCTGCATCTTAGGAGGTAATCAGAAACGAACTGGATAAAGGCTCTGAGCAGGCTGGTCTGATTTTGAGCTTAGATACAACTTTGAAGCTGGTATGACTTAGGCTTTGAATCACACAGTCTTCCAATCTAAATTCTCTTTGAATGTAAGCAAAGGTAAAAATTCCAAGTAATTCAAACACTTGATGCCTGAAAAAAGAAGAATAGGTTAGCCCTGAAAGATTAAAAAGGTTTAATTTTTGTGACATTGGAATGAACTGTTTGGACTAGTGAGAGTAGCATTGACTGATAAGACTTCCAGATTGTTCATCTTATTAAAGATATTACAGATCCTTATTTGTTCTTCTACTCAGACAAAACTTGTGCTACACATGTTCTAAGAACTTATTTATGAAACTTGAATATGAAACAATTCAATTATTGCATTGTTGTTACTGTGCAGCGAACCATTTTGTTTCAGAAAGTACTATAATTCCATGCTACAATTGAAAAGGAATGTTTTATGCTATGATTTGGAAAATATTTTTTCAATTTCTAAGTACTTTTGAGCATTGGGACAAAATTAGGTTTATGTTAAAATGCAGCTGAGAATTGAGTTTCTTAATAAGAAATTCTGTTTTGGTTTCAAGCAGGTTTTTTTTTCCCCTGTGGTAGTTATATGAACTGTCGTGCAAGAGAAGATGTTACAGAATTGAAAAAAGGGCTAGTTGCTGCAGTTCCTTTTTTACGGTGGAGATGATTGGAAGTGTCCATTTATTTAATTCTGGAATCCTTACTTTGGATTATAAAATGTATAGCATCAAGTCTCTTTTGAGATCATGTTCTGAAACTGATGCTGAAATGAGGATTGTGTATTTGATCAACGAAAATTTTCACTTTTGCTTTGATCTTCAATATAGTAGTAGACAAAATAGTCTGTTTAATGGGTCAATATGATGTAGCTCCTTGAATGAAAAAGAAAGAAAAAGAAGTTAATATTAATTAGAAACTGCAAATTATGAGTTTCTTTATGTGAAACTAACCATGTGACCTTTACAAGGGAAAAAACACAACCTTCTAATTTACATTTTTGATCGTAGTAACAGGATCTGTCATAATTTTTCAGAGCCACAATACATTACCCATTTCATTATTTTCCTTTTTCAGTGGACAAATAAATAAAAACTAGGAGTGTTTTCCATGTTCTCCATCATCTCAGAGCACGGTGCAAAACATGTCCATGTAGTGTATATTTCCTTACTGGTTTAGTGGTATAATCTACTTCCAGTTTTATGATGAAGCAGTCTGATCCACATTTTAAGACAGCTAAGAACATTCATTCTAATTATAAAATTCTAGCAGAGTGGTCCTTATGGTAAGTCATGGAACTGACTGGGATTCTAAAAATTATTCTGTTTTCTGTTTTTTTCCAAAAAAGTCTCTTCAGCCAAATTAAAGACAAAACTGTCACCCTAACACTGTTACTTAAAAGGAGGAAAGGCTATCTTTTTAAAGTGGGAGATACCAAATCTAGTTTTACATAAATTCCACTTCTGCATATCGCAGTGGAACAGGTATTTTTTTCTTCTGAACGTTTATGGCTTTAGTGTACTCTGAAATCCTTTTTTTTCCTTGGTCTCAGAATTACAAACACTCAGTGGTAGTTTGTAAGATGGTGTGTAGTGGGGGAGGGGAGAGACTGTTATAATCCATCTTTATGTTGCTATTGCTGTTAATGCCTCTTTTAAAATTTGAAGTCACTTACTAACTACCCAGTGTAAACCAATTTTTCTTTAACATTTCTTACTTTGAGACATACGTATGGTTTTTCAGTTGCTTTGGCATGTTTTTGATCTGCAGGAAAAAGAATCCGTATTATCAAGAACACAGCCGTTTTTAGGTGTACATCATTGGTACTGCTGCTGAGTCCTGCTGCAGTTAACATACAGTTTTTATATAGGCATATGAAGAAAGCTTTTCAGAATGGTTGCTGTTCTTGTCTGGCTCCAGAACTGGAGAAGAAACAGCCATGCACTTGAGGTGTTTCTAGGATACATTAGCCTGAGCGTAAATATCATATGCATGCTGCTGCTCTTCTGTTGACCTACCTTGTGTGCTGGATGGACCTACCAGTTGTTCCAGTACTAGCTCAGTACTGGCTGATAGACTAGTATCTTCGTAATCTGTTAGGGGTATTTTGAGCCAACATGTTTTGCTTTTAAAGTTCACCTTAGCTCATTGTGTCTTAAGGGATCCTGAGAGCAAGGAGCTTGCTAATTTATTTATGAGCCTGGAATGGCAGGGTGCTCTTGTAGCTGGTGCTCATGAGCCTGGAGGTCTGTTTCCAGTTGTAGAGCATTCTCCAAAAATTGAAAGAAGTCGTCTAAGTGGGGTGAACTACGTTTCTGCTTTTTTTTTTTCTTTCTTGCTGATACTTTTCTACAATATTTATGTAGATTATCATAGCAGTAGCTTGATTTATACTGTTACATTATTCCATACTGAGTAATTGTAATAATTGACTTCCACGGTTTATCATACCTAGGTCTTACCTAAAATAATTGTAAAATCACACAAGCTATTGTATTTCTGTTCCAGTCAGAATTTGAGAAATTTTTTCATTGTGCAAAAATCGGGTTTTAATTTTCATCCCAGAATGCATTTTTAAGACTTTGGATATGCCGGCTTGATATGAGCTAGTAGAGTTTATCCTGCAGAGAGTACGAAAGACTAGTGCAAAAATACACGTGACAAATACAGGTAGACAAATCCCTATGTGACATCTTGGTTGCATTAAAAGCTGAATTACTGTTGGCATTCTAAGGAAAACTCTAGTTAGCATTTCATCCCAACAACACCTTTCCATTTTTGCTTTTTTTTGTAATCAATTGTAAGATGGTTATTCACAAACCAGACTTCAGTTATAGTGTGTAGTACTTGCAGTAGTTTTTTTCTAATGACTATCTTTTAAACAATGAACCAGCCTTTCTGACTGAGCAGCCAAATTCCTTTTTCAAAGGAAGATGTATCAAGTTTTTTTACACTTGTGCAGGTCAGAGCACTTGGGAAATGGGAGTCTGAAGGCAGGGTGCTGTCATCAAGACAATTCATCCAACCAGCGCCTTACTCATGGAAGTCTCAATAACAGGGTTTATGAGCTAAATAAATTATCCTGTCAGGCCACATACGGACTGCAGGCAATTGGCTGGACATCTCTGTACTCATAATAAATACATGTAGCTTGGCCTGGGTAATTAAAATAAATTTTTAAAAAATTATTTTGTAATTAGGTACTTCAAGGTCTAGATTATCTACACAGCAAGTGCAAGATCATTCATACAGATATAAAGCCAGAAAACATTTTGATGTGTGTGGATGATGCATATGTTCGTAGAATGGCTGCTGAAGCTACCGAGTGGCAGAAGGCTGGTGCTCCTCCCCCCTCTGGCTCAGCAGGTATGATCGTAAATTTAAATGTAATGTAGTAAAGTTCCATCAGTATATTAATGCTAACAATATTTTGTTTAATGAAAATTAACATTTTAAATAATTGAGTGTGAAAAATGCATGTCTGGTTAATTCTTATTCATGCTCTGGAAACTATCAGGGAAATGCTTTCTTCTCAGTTTTACATGTTCAAGTTTTTGGGGTCTCTAGATACAGAAAAAGATCAATTTATAAACTTACTCTCCTCCCACCCCACAAGCTGTAATGGCTGGGTTTTAGCTGCAATGGAGCCTTGCATCTCTAGTATTGACAATAATTAATAATCTTACCTAAATTGTGTCTAATTCCATTACAAGTTCATCAGCATCCTTGTGAAATTATCTGCATTCTTGTCAGTCATCACTTATTCTCAGAATGCAATGAGAAGTCTTATAGTCCATAGTTTTTCACCCTTGAAAATGGAATTTTTTGTACCTAACTGAATTCTTGATAAGCCCTTCTCCCTAACACTGTGTGTGAAATGTTTTATGTTAAACTTGCCAAGAGTTTAGATAGGAACTGTACATTATGTTTAGCTAGGTGAAACCAAAGTAAAGGAAGTTCACAGCAATCAGTAAAGACAAGCAAGGAGGAAGGGTGGTTTTTCTAGTTATCTTTAGTACCACGGTTGCTATTTATTTGCCAGTCGAGCACATCAGCTACAGGCAGTGAAGAAATAATAACGTTTAAATACCTTTGTAATATTATCAGAAAATATATCACAGATTAAAATCTCTGCACTATAATAAAAATACCTGCTATATCAGGAACAAATACTGTGGTCAAAATTCATAAATATTTCACAGTATTATGTATGTTAAGATGCAAAATCTTACAAATTGTGAATGTATTGTATTGAGTTTTACATAATGTGTAATCCCATAGCTAAAGACTGTATGTTATATGTGTGGGAAGTAACTTGATTTTGTTCAGGCAGCCTTTATATTGCTTCCTGACGTTAAAGTAAATATTATTTTAAGGAATATATTGATGGAGTTCTTACCACACTTTGTTCTTAGCAAATTGTAAGTAAATCTGTGGCTTTCCACAGAGGAGCTGAAGATGTGTTTTATTCACAGCATTTCAAGAATAGGTTCTGCATAATTTCCCTTTTTAGAGCAGTGATGGTACTCAAGATTAAGAATATTTTTTAAAACCTTGCCCTTTCAGGGGCACACAAGCAGTTTTTTCCCTGAACTTAGCAGCAGGAGCTGGACCTGTAAAAGAACTCTGAAGTCTTAACTGTCTCTGTTTTTTATTTTGCATTTGTTAATTGCCATATGCTTGTATGTCTAAGGAAGTTCAGGAGAGGTTCTCCTCCCCTGTTCAGTTCCTCTTTTTTGCTTCCACTTTGCCTCTGTCTCCCATATTTGGTTATTTCTATTGGTTTTGATTATTGAGGGCGGGGTGTGTCTCTCTGTGTGTGTGTGACTTGTGTTGCTGTTCTGTGCATTTCCACAGTTAGTATTGTAATCTCATCAGACCTAGTCACTGATGGTATCCTCTGAGAGATGCTTAGGAAGAGGTCCGTGCTGGAGATGCTTTTTCTGTGGTGGTGTGCTTTTTGCCATAGGTGCTTCTTCATGCCTCCAGTCTTGGCAATCAAAGTACCTTGTTCCGAACGAAAGAAACATGAATATTTGACTTTTCTGTTGAGTGCAACACAGTCGTCGTCTTTGTTGATATTCCCTGAGCTATTTGAAATCAGTCTATACCTGCTCCGTCAGCTACTACATACATTTAATGTGTGACAACTCTGCAGTCGCTTAATGTTTTCTGTCCACTCTTTACTGATTTAGACTTTCTTTTCTGACTTTCATTAACTCTCCACGAACCACAACAGAGTGAACAGAAATTGATGCTAGCTGCTTCCAATTCCAGATGCTCTAATGGAGACATCAAATGATTTCAGGGAGCAGGTACTTGTAAAGAGTAAAAAATCTGACTTAAAAGAGGGAAAAAAAAATCACTACCTTATGTAAAAATACTCTTGACTAAATATGATTTCTACTACTTTCTGCTTTTATAGAGTTGGTTTTGTAAAAATATATCTTTATTTTTTTTCTTTTTAGTGAGTACAGCTCCACAACAAAAGCCTGTAAGTATTGTTATATAATTCAAATTAACTTTCTTATTTTCTGTGTTTCTGTAGGTATTAGTAGCTATTAGACTGCTGGTAGCCTCTCCCCTTTTTAAAACCTTCCTTTGAATAATGCGTTTATCTTTCAAAGAACACTTTTCTTCTAATGTCTTTGCCTTACCAGTTTTAAGCACAGTATTTCCCTGATGGAAACTCTTGTAGACTTACAATTCTATAGCTACGTCAAAGAAAGTTAAGCATTGCCATTTTCATTTCTCAAGGAGTAATCCATTCCGTTCAAATCCTGACAAAAATTGGTTCATGCACTAAATATCATGCAGTGCAGATAGCTTAAGGACTTCAGGGCCTTTATCATCAAAGCCTTAAAGGAGAGGGTTTTTTATGAGGTTTGAAGGATCTTTTTACCATATACATATAGCAGATAACCACTGATAATACAGCTGTTTAGAAATATCTAAGGTCAAACCTGCTTTCTACATCTGTGTATAGAGAACTTGTATAATTTCAGTGGGCATACAACATGGATGAAAATTAATAGGATTGTCAAATAACTGTCCTGTTTTGACTGCCCCATAGCTTCTTTGGAAGATAACAGGATTTACAGATAAACCTTTGAGAAAATAATATTTCCCTTTGTTCATTGTACTTTATTTTTGAATTATATGGCGATTTGTTACTGTGATACCTAAACAATGAATGAAAACTGGATAAGTCTCATTTATCAAATAGTAAAAATAGAAGTCAGAATTCAGTTAAGATATAAGAAAGTTTTTCAGTCCTAGCTCAGATATGTTAATTTTTCTTTTCCTTGTTATTGTACCTGAGTTTTTCAATCTTTATATTATATGAAATGTGAAACTTCTCATCATGACCATCTGTTGTTTGTGATTCATATGTTTTGGGCCAGAATTGCATAATAAAAATGCTTTCCTTTCACAGAGAAATAGATGAACATCACAGGATTTATTTAAAATTCTTTACCGTTTTCAGTCTCTTTGGCTTTCTCATAATATTTTTCTCGGCATACTTTTGCTGGTCATTACTTGCATTGTATATATAGAGAAATCATGTAGAAAATTTGTGTGTGAATTACTAGATATGATAGCAGGCTGTCTTCCACATACAATGTCATCTGTTAATCTAGATTGAAATTTAAGGTTACTGTGCCTAGTCGAGATTATAGGATCATAGGAATTTTACTATGGCATTTTAGATATATTTTGCTCTTGTGTCTAATAAACAGCCATGTAAAAACATGTATAACTGCGTAAAATTTTGATAGCTTCTTTTGCCTCATACAACCCTACATCATTCTTGATTTGAAGTAAAATGGAAAAAGCAATGTAGTTACGATATTAACTGCCATCCAGTATTTTCAATTAAAAAGTAATCATGCTGCAAGTGAATTTGGTGTGAGATGCCTTGAATGGTTGTTCAGGGTTTTTTTGGTTTGTTTCCTTTTGTTTGCATTAATATTTCAGGTTGGAAAAATATCCAAAAACAAAAAGAAAAAACTGAAGAAAAAACAGAAGAGGCAAGCTGAGCTGTTAGAAAAACGCCTGCAGGAAATAGAAGAACTAGAGCGAGAAGCTGAGAGGAAAAAAATAGAAGAAAATGTAACCTCATCTGTACCATCAAATGAACAAGAAGATGAGTACCACCCAGAAGTGAAACTAAAAACAGCTGATATAGAAGAGGTAGTAGATGAAGAACCTGGAAATGATGATGGTTAGTATTACGTTCTTTTATTGACCCTGAATTTAGTATTTCAGAGGGCACAATAATTGCAGCATTGCATCTGCTGCAATGAACAAAATCTCCACACTGTCCTAGATCATTAAGTTTCATTTTCTCCTGTAGGCAAAATCATAACTACAAAGTCTAAAAAGGAAAAGTCAAACCTACTGTAGAAGTGAAGAAAAACATCAATAGCAATCTAGCTATCAAATCCCACAAAAGAGCACATAGAAAATTCAACAGAACAGTCAGTTGTCATACCACATTAAGTGGCATCACTGAGTATCTTGGTGAGACAGAAGAAAAATAAGATGAATTTGTATTCTGTAACATTATGTAGTTAGTGTCATCATTACTTTCCCCTCTTCTTGTTACAATGTTTGTTGTAATGATCCTATCAGGTAATAATAATTGCAGCTTCTTCACTAAAATTTTTAAGATGTCTTGTTAAAATTCTTGTTTAGTCCCAGTGATTTGGAGGGTAATTGTTATGGTCCAGCTTCATTCTGGCTTCCCTGGTTTTCTTGTTAACTCTCTCCAACTCTGATAAAAATATAAATACTGAGACTTTCTTCTGGTTTAGTTTAGTTTTGTTCTGCTCTTACTGTGAATTTTCCCACTTCTATGATGACTCCCTGTTTGACACGGATTGAGTTATAGGTTTGTAAAGCTTGTTCTCAAGCCCTATATGTCTTCCCTTCATAACAGTCTTCTCTTCTGAATTGTTCCCTCCTGAACCACTTCCCATTGTTTATTTTATCCAACAATGTTGTTAGTTCTTTCTTTCACCTTTAATTTAGATTTTAAGGTCTTTACATATTTCAGTGATACTCAGTGTTTCCTTGTGTGATATGTCAAAAGTCAAGTAGTTACTGAAGAGTTAAAAATTATGAATGTCTAATTTCAAAATAGTATGTTGATGTATGATCTAATGTGTGGCTCATTGACATTTTTCAGGTGAAACAGAAGATCAGGATGAAAAAGAAGACACAGAGAAGGAAAACACTGAAAAAGATGATGACGTTGAGCAGGAACTTGTCAACACTGACCCTACAGACCCTAAGTGGATAGAATCCCCCAAAACAAATGGCCATATTGTGAACGGCCCATTCCTATTGGAACAACAGATTGAAGATGAAGATGAGGAAGAGGAAGAATGTCCAAATCCAGAGGAGTATAATCTCGATGAGCCAAATGCAAAAAGTGATTACTCTTACAGCAGCTCCTATGAACAGTTTAATGGTGAATTGCCAAATGGACGTCATAAAATTCCTGAGTCACAATTCTCTGAATTTTCAGCTTCAGTGTTCTCTGGGGCTCTAGAGTCTGTAGCTTGTGGTTCTGCTGTTTCTGAAGGCTCAACTGTAACTGAAAGAGAGGAGAGCAGCCCATCTCACGACAGGAGCAGAACAGTTTCAGCTTCAAGCACTGGAGATCTGCCAAAAAGTAAGTATTCCTCTTAGTGGCATATACCATGCTTGAAGTCTCTTGGAGCTGTAGGTGACGTCTTATGTAGAATGAGTAGCAGGGTTAAACCTTGTGTATATGTTTTATGTGTCTTCAGTGACACATATGTGCAGATTTTACTTTATATTTCTTTTGCAATTTTTTGGTGAAAATTCAGGACCAAGCTGTTACGGGTAGGCTGTGACATGCTTCTTTCAGTAACACGAAAGGACCTTTCAGTAACAGACAAGAACTATGTCACACCATTTCCCTGTCTTTGAATGCTAGGCCTAGCACTTCCCAGTGATGTTCACTTTTCTGTACCTACGGGTGAAGTCTTTTAAATGTTTTCAGTTTCTGGGTTGGTGCCAAACCTACTAATGTCCTGGCCTGCTTTGTGCTTGAGTCTGAAGAGTGCCCATGGAAAATACAGTGCCTGTGTGCCAGCCTCTGTAGTCAGAGAAACCTGTGCAGGGTGCCCCCAAATGCTCTCTTTCTGAGGCATTCCCAGACTTGGGGAGGGAGGTGGGATATGGGTTCAGATTAACCATAGCTAGGGTTGGGTTACAGCTGCAGCCCACCACTCGGAACCCTTTTTTGCTTGCTGCCTGATTTTGTCTTCTTGGTTTCATCTACACTGAACACTTTGCTCATTGAATCATACATTGTGTGAACGCAAAAATCTCAATTATGATTATTTTAAATTTGGTATTTAATCTTAGAAGACTTTTGGCAGAAAGGCAGAGCAGATATCTAGAAACGAAGAGGAGGCATTTCAGTTAGTTTGGTCCCAAAGCATTCTAGTGAATTTTGACCTCCTAGGACCAGGTTTCAAGGAAAAGCAAATGTATTAGTTTTGAATGGCTTTTAGAAATAGGACTAGGGGGGAACACTTTTGATTTGAGTTGATGGGAGACTTTTGTCTAGTAGCATGGGTGTGTATTACATTAAAAAAAAGAGGCAAGTAAGTGGAATAGAAAGGCAGTGATTAGATTAAGAAAAAATTGTAGTAGTCTCATTAAAGTCTATAGCTTAGCCAAGCTTACTTTAAGTAAATGGGATGATTTTTCTTGCATTCAAACCTGGGAGTTTGGTAGATACAGCTTGGAACACAATGCAAAAGCATTCTTGTTAAATTCAGACAAATCTACCACCTTAAATTTTAAAAGGAAAGCAGAACTCTGATTTTTTTTCTTTTACTGCTGTGGAACTTGTTTTTAAGGGTATTAGATAAGTTATTGTAGATGAAATATTTGCGTCAACAGGTCAGTCTACATGGGGAAAGAGAAAAGGAAGTTTATAGTTGCAAGTAAGCATTATTCCCATAGTTTAAGGGCAGAAGAAATCACGTAACCTGACTTCCTTTTATAACAAGCCAGTAATACACCATCTATTATGCCCTTTAAGTTTTGGCTTATTTTCCAAAAAGATACCTGCTCTTGATTTGGAAAAATGAAATTATAAAAAAAATCTAGTGTGGTTGAAGTGTGTTCCACTGGTCAGTACTCAGATTGTTTCAGAAGAATTGTAGCAAGTTTGGATTTGTCTGGCTGCAGCCTCTAGCAATTAATTCTTTTCTCAGTCATATTAAAAAATTCTGTAATATGCTGTGGTTTTGTTCATTAATGGTTCTTTTCTGTTTCAAACAGTTCCTCTCCTAACCTTTTACTAAAACTCAACAAGATGAAGTATTTGTCTCTGTAAGGCATGTTGCCAACTCTCAACTCATTATGGTTTTTCTGTATTCAGCGTGGTTTTGGATATTTAAATTCTGGCC